TTTTTGTCTACCCTTGAGTGCCCTTATATAAGTTCCAAAAAGTTAATTTTTACGATTTTATTGCAGCATGACGCTAAGAAATGCGCTTTGTTAACCTTTGTTAACATTACCAAAGGCACAGTTAGAACTATTACAGGTATTTGTTGTTTAAGATTCAGCTACTGGGAACAAAGTTGCAAGTAGCACGGGCTATGGTGAGCCCGTAGTGGACCTCCCTGGCGCAGGAGCGGGGCTGTAACTGTTCTGTCTACAGGTAGTTGATTGATTGATGTAGATTAACCCACCCAAAAGGTGGCACGAGCATGAATAGCCCGTAAGTGGTGGGCCTTTTGAGCCATTACCAGTATCAATTGATGATACTGGAGATCTGTGGAGGTGCGACTGCACCCTGCGTGACGGGAGATGTCTCCCGTCTATTTTTTTGGTATTTTTATACCTAATACTCCCGAGGTATTTTTTTGGCTGTGGAATATATAGCCGGGGATGAGGTGAAGGCGAAGCACCTCACTTATGGACCAATAGGCCAATTGTAGCTCAACCAACCTCCTGTGTTTCCACGATGGCTGCGGGCGGTACATTGTGTGATTCGTTTTGTTCTGGTCGAGTGTAATTTAGCGTTGGTTGTTCACAGTTGGTTAGGTTTGCCTCATGCATAATACTTCACCGTTGTCCAGTCTTCTATTGTCGATGTATTTGTCGATTATTTTGGTGTTGTGACGATATTTAATTTAATCAAGCGCGGGTTGGACATGTATATGAGTGGGATTGGGTGGTTATAGATAGGAGCTGCCTCGTATGGGGCAATAGGCCTTCTGCAGTTACCTTTGTTCTTATGTTCTTATATCTTTGGTGATCATTTGGTTATGTGTAGACACTGTGTGTTTCTTGATGGGGGCCTTGCTGTTTGTGCATTTTTAGATGTCTGAAATCTTCAGAGGGTTGATGTTGTCTTGCCTATATATTGAGATCCTCGGGGCTGACAGTTGCCTATATATTGACAGTTGATCCTCGGTGGGTTGGACATGTATATGAGTGGGATTGGGTGGTTATATATAGGAGCTGCCTCGTATGGGCCAATAGGCCTTCTGCAGTTACCTTTGTTCTTATGTTCAGTTCCCAAATGGGCATGTAAAGGCATAGACGACATTTGTCTCCTTCAAAGTGTTTTGTTTGAAATCTCGACAGATTTTCATGAACAATTTAATAGTCGTTTTTACTGTTATATTATAAGGCCCGATTTGCATGATAGAGTAATTTTCATTATTTTCATACAATTTTTTTTCAAATTGGCTAATTTGACTATTATTGTATTATATTAAGAACATGAATTACTGACATTGTTATGTTAGTTTAGGTTAAGTTAAGATAGGTTAAGTTAGGTTGGATAGGTTAGGCTTGGTCATATTTCTACGATAGTTTTAACTAAAATAAAAAAAATGAACTCATATATTATGTAATGGGAAGCTTTATCATTTCATAAGAACAAAATTAGAAAAATATATAACATCAGGAAAACTTGGCTTATTAGGCAAATCGGGTCCCGCATAGTAGGCCAAGTAGTACGTTCTGTCTATTACGTACAACACACACACCCAAAGATATATATATATATATATATATATATATATATATATATATATATATATATATATATATATAATTTGACGTTGATATATATATATATATATATATATATATATATATATATATATATCAACGTATATAATATATATATATATATATATATATATATATATATATATATATATATATATATATATATATATATATATATATATATATATATATATATATATTTTCACAGAATCACTGCGATGTTTCTTCCAGTTCCCAGAGATGTGTTCCAAGTCGTCCTCAGAGATGTGCTGCTTCTAATGCCCAACGATGTGTTGCTTTCTTGTCGCGCGAACTTTCTCCCCAGATATGTGAAGCTTCTTATCCCCAGAAATGTGGTGCTTAAGTCTGTTTGTACCGCTTCTAGGAGACTCAAAGAGAGAAGAAAAATGAAGGGAAATGCGTAAAGAGAATGGCATTGGAGACTAGAGAGGTGGGAATAAAACAGACCTAAAATGAGAAGAATAGATAAAGGAAAATATAGCTTATGAAGAGTGAGAGTAAGAAAATAAAAAAAAAATTACATGACAGAAGAATGGAATGGAACTATGAGGAGAAAGCGCCAAATCATTACGACTATAAAGCCCTTGGAAGGGGTCAGGATAAGGATTTGGGATGGGACGGGGGGAAAGGAATGGTGCCCAACCACTTGGACGGTTGGGACATGTCGGAAGAGAAACGGATGAGTGATATTTAGAACCAACTCTGGTGGGAAATAATGGGATGGTGCGGAATGGGCTGATGTGGGACAGGTGCTCTGAGGCTTATAGTTAGTATCCCCTTCCCATGGAGGACCTCCCTAATCGCTTCCATATAATGATGATAAGCGAGATTAGTTTTATGAGTTCCGGGATGCGAGTGAGCTCAAGTGGAGCAAATATTCTAACATTAATCAGCCTTAAAGCATCATAAACTCATCTCTAACTTGGATATCTCTAGCAGAACTAACAATCATGCTCGCATTTCCTAGAAAAAATTCATATCAACTACATTTCCAGCGCTACTACCTATCATACTCGCATTTTACCAGGAGAATACACTATCATACTCGCATTTTTACAGGAGAATACACTATCATACTCGCATTTTTACAGGAGAATACACTATCATACTCGCTTTTTTCCAGGAGAATACATTATCATACTCGCATTTTTCCAGGAGAATACACTATCATACTCGAATTTTTCCCGGAGAATACACTATCATACTCGCATTTTTCCAGGAGAATACCTTATCATACTCGCATTTTTCCCGGAGAATTTCCATATTATACTCGCATTTCCTACAGAACATCCTGTTATACTCTTATAGTACCGGCGAGTCTGCACACAGACATTCCATCAGCCTCACTCAAACACTCTCTCCAACAAGCGTATTCTCAGGCAGCTCTTCTCCAACACCCGCCCACACTCCAACACCCGCCCTGCCTCCACTATCATCAAACACCCGCGTTTCCTTTAGCATTTCTCAAGCACTCTCCCAAACGAGCAGCTCATCCTTCCTCTCTCCAATCCCCACCACCTTCTCTACTCTCCCTTCCCTATTCTCCTCTCACCCCCACACACACCCTTTCCCCACTCTCTCTCTCTCTCTCTCTCTACCGCTTTCTCCGTCTCTCTCGCTCTCTCAGGCTTCTGGGGCTGCCTCCATCTGGTTCGTGTTAGCTCCACAAAGGACTGGTCAGGGCGGTGTATCCTCTTGAAGGCCAGCTTGCTCAGGGTGAAGCTTAGTCTAGCTACACTGAGGAATTTATATGATGGGCTTCACATCTGCTTCATTATTTGGTCTCCAGCGTGGCTTACAATGCTATGCTTGAGCTTAATGAATCTTGTAAATGAAATTCGGGTCGTAAATACAGGTGTATTGTACATTATAAGCGTTGTATATTATGTATGTGTTATCTTGCTAGTAAGATGCCCGTTTCCAGAGGATATAAGGGATTGCAGTCAAGATATTCAAGTGTCTGGAATCGGAGCCTCAGGCCAGAGGGTGAAGGAAGCTGTATGTCGCTTTCATTTTAACTGCGTAGTTATAAACCTGTTTGGTTTCTACAAGCCATTGGGAACATTATTTTTCCGCAATTTAACTCGCGATATGTTTTTCACAACACTGTTTCCGCATTAAGAAACAGTATCCACTCCAACAAGCACTTGAGTGCAGGAGATGGTTTCACTTTGTCGAGGGCCTGGAAGTCTAATTGGCTCTTTACAGGCCTTTAATTCTAACGAGTGACTTATATTCTATGTGTATATTATCTTAAAGTTACAAGTCACTTTATTCTACTGCTGTCTAGCACTTACGATCTCGACCAAACCACACATCAGAATGTGGAGAAACGATCCTGGGAGTCGGTCGGCCGAGCGGACAGCACGCTGTACTTGTGATCCTGTGGTCCTGGGTTCGATCCCAGGCGCCGGCGAGAAACAATGGCTAGAGTTTCTTTCACCCTATGCCCCTGTTACCTAGCAGTAAAATAGGTACCTGGGTGTTAGTCAGCTGTCACGGGCTGCTTCCTGGGGGTGGAGGCCTGGTCGAGGACCGGGCCGCGGGGACACTAAAAAGCCCCAAAATCATCTCAAGATAACCTCAAGATCTCAAGATAACGACAACGTTTCGGTCCGTCATTATCAACTTATGTGTGTATCAGACCATTATCAACACACGGCTTGATACTGGTCCTGAACGGACCGAAACGTCGTCCTTTCTCCACATTCTGAAGTTCGGTTTGGTCATCTTCGGCCACGTTATCCTAGATAAACAGAAGCATTAGGTGCTATCAAAGTTATGAACAGAGGCATATGTAAGAGCTGCCTCGTATGGGCCAAGAGGCCGTCTGTCTGCAGCTACCTTCATTCTTATGTTCTTATAACAAATGTCAGACAATTTGTGAACAGAGGGCGTATGAGGTGTAAGGAAAAGGATGAAATGAGGAGTGTCAGGAGCAAGGAGGCTTGCCAGACGTGCTTCCTGGTTTGGGATCGAACGTTCGGATACTCTGGAGAGTTGACTGGAGAGAAAACTACTCCAGGAAAGCCGGCTGTGTTCCCTACACTCCACTACACCATATGTGTCTGTACCACAGAACACCTGAGCTACTTTGCACTCTACATCTCGCCAACGAAGAAAAAGGAGAATCAGCATTTTATTGAACAAAAATTCCGAACCGTTTTAATAGCTGCTTCTCAAGTTTGAACAAAATTTAGTAAAATAATTACAAAGAAACAAGACAAGTTGGATATGTTCCCCTGAATAACACAGAAAAAAACGTATAATCACATCTCTAAATACAAAAAAAAATTGCATAGAGAAAACAGAAAAATGGTTTTACTTGAAAAAAACATTGATAGAGGATTTTGTCTACTCACACTTGATGCTAATGTCGACGCTGTGGCTGTGTGCGTCGCCCTCGACGTTGGAGGCGACGCATTGGTAACGTCCCGAACGTTGACGCCCGACGCTTTGGAGTGCCAGTGTCAAGTCACTCACCAGCACTCCGGCACTCACGTTCTGAACCAGTTCCTCTCCCTGTCAGGTCACAACACACACATTGTCAATGACACAGTGAGAAAGAGACACATTAGATGCAGTTAATAAAAATCCATTTATGGATAGAGTTAGAAAGAGTGTATTATCTATCGTCACGGAGTGTATTATCTATCGCAACCCGTTCTCGCACTTTCGTATAGTCAGTATTGACTTATTAAATACGTGCATATGTAACATACTAGTTTACCTTGAAAAGCTTCATAGAAAACACCGACCTTACCTAACCTTCTTAATATGTTAAGATAAGCCTCTTATTGCTTCGTAATTACAATTATTACTTAACCTGTTATAGGTATAAGTTAAGTAATAATTGTAATTACGAAACAATAAGATGCTTATCTTAACATACTAAGAAGGTTAGGTAAGGTCAGTGTTTTCTATGAAGCTTTTCAAAGTAAACTAGTATGTTTAGTATGTCACATATGCACGTATTTAATAAGTCAATATTGACTGTAAGAAAGTGCGAGAACGGGTTGTCTATCGTCAGAGAGTGTATTATCTATCATCACACAGTGTACCACCACCACACACAGTGTACCAACACGACACACAGTGTACCACCACCACACACAGTGTACCAACACGACACACAGTGTACCACCACCACACACAGTGTACCACCACCACACATAGTGTACCAACCCACTGGGAGGAGGACTTAAGGGGGATCAAAGAGAGAGTTGTCTAACTACAGATTGTGTCAATGTTTTGCAACCAATAGTTTAGTTGTTTAGACTTTAATCCAACAACAAATGGCAGCAATTTTATGCTCTCATTTGCGACCAAAAGGTTTCAAAAAACGATAGTCCCGAATCTGATCTCTTGTTGATTCCCTAATAAATGGCGTATAGGCATTAAATGACTCCCAATTTTGATTGTTGTGTTGCACAGCCGTTTTACAAGCACAGTTGCAAGCATGTGTACTCCTGTTAAAATTCAATGTTGAAGCAAAAATTAGATTAGACATTCTCATTTATAGAATGAATTTAAATCAGAAATTCTGGCAGGGGTTCAGGCCAGAGGTTTAAGGCTAGTCTCACCCAATTTTTTTTATAGATAGAGAGAGACAATGAAGGGGACACAGAGACAAGTGACACAGCTAAATAACCTTTTATTATATAAGATAATATTCATTTTGTTCGAGATTGGAAGCCTGACGCTCGCGGCTAGTCTCACGTAACCATGCACGGTGACTGGTCTCTTATCCAGGATGGTCGTACGTGGGTCAGGGTCGTACCTAAATACCCGGATTTTCACATTTTAAAATCTTCCTATATAACAAACTCCATCCCCCGGAAATTTCACCTAGCATATTATTTGCTACGTAAATACTAAATGTTAGTTTTTCGTATGGTCTGTAATTAATGAAGTCAGTGTGTAGTGTAGATGGTTTACAGGTCAACAGATGGCTGTGTGTAGTGTAGATGGTTTACAGGTCAACAGATGGCTGTGTGTAGTGTAGATGGTTTACAGGTCAACAGATGGCTGTGTGTAGTGTAGATGGTTTACAGGTCAACAGATGGCTGTGTGTAGTGTAGATGGTTTACAGGTCAACAGATGGCTGTGTGTAGTGTAGATGGTTTACAGGTCAACAGATGGCTGTGTGTAGTGTAGATGGTTTACAGGTCAACAGATGGCTGTGTGTAGTGTAGATGGTTTACAGGTCAACA